GTTTGAGCTTACGCTTTGACGGCCGAGAGGAGAGAACCTCTCGGCGTTGAGAGTGTACATAACCTCGACGGCCGAGAGGGATTCCCCTCTTGGCCGTTGAGAATGCGGTCTTGCGGCCGGGAGGATGCCTCCCGGCCGCTGCCGTGGGGTGGGGGTTGATTTGGTTTATCGACCCCCAAACCCTGGTCGGTTTGGGAGGATCGACTCCCAAACCAACCGGGGGTTTTTATTTTTTTTATATTAAACGAGGGCATAGCCCCCATTTTTGGGGTCAGAGGGGGGTTTTAAATGAAAGGGAGAACAGGATTGGATTAATTAGGATACTTGAGAGATTTCCCGGTGATAAAAGGCACATCAATTAGCAGAATGATGATAAAGATGGCCTCAAAAAGATCAGTGTAATATGTGAAACATAATTTGAAACAGTATTGGATTCTTTCATGATCAAGGCCTTTGAAGATATTGAAGAACCTTGTATAAACATTAACATTGCAAAAAGAAATTCCAATTCCAATAGGGGGGTTCAAGATTGAACTTTAAGGCCATTTTTAAGGTGTTTCTGATCATGAATGTACAATTTTTTTGTGATGTACAGAAGGTTCAGAAATTAATAAATTGGAAAAACTCAAAGAAATTCATAAAATGTTGCTCAAAAACACCATAAAAATCACTTGAAGTTCAATTGTGAACCCCTCTAATGTAAGATACATTCATAGTAATAAAATAGGCCAAACAATCAGAATATTAATTCTGCCCCTGGTCAGTGGAAAGTGGCATTTCCTCCTAGATCTCAGTCCTCCATCCAATGTATGAATGAAGCTGTGTATGTAAGCATTTGCAATACTATCATTAGCTCTTTGTTAGGTTTTTTTGTATAGCTCTATTGTATTGATGTGTACTTCTCCGTATAGTTGATCTGTATTTTCAACTAAGTGAAATCATAAGGAGGGTATTCCAAAATTCCAGTTCTCAATAATTGAGCCCCATTTGGACATCCTGTTATACATCATAAATTGCCCTGCACCGGGGGTCACACATTATAAATTCAATGATTTATGACATATAACGGGCTGTCCAAATGGGGCCTGAAAAATTTACCTTCAAGAAAAAATATGCCAAACTTCAAGAAAAAATATAACAAACTGGAAGAAGCCAAAATGTGGGTTACTCCCAATGTAGCTTGTCTTATAACTACAACAAAAAATAAAGTAACAATTTATGCAAAGTTACTGTGAAATGTGCACATTGTCAGCATTGGATTTTCTTGAATCAAATTTTGAGTGATCTCTGAGGAAGAAACCAAGTTTAAGCATTGATTCTGAATTAAAAAACTCAAGTATTCAATTGAAACAATTACCTTGATTAGAATTTTCTATACTTCCCAATTTTGACCAAGGTATTACTGGAATTTTTGAAAAACTGAACAGGTGTTGTAAACAATTATTTTGCATCAGGTCACACTTGCCATGTTTTGTCCTTGAATCAGAGAAGATATACAGGGTTAGAATATAAATTAAGGGGGAGCAATTCTTTTGAAATGATCCATGCTATTTTCAGGAATGAATTCAAATGTAGATTTTAATCCTATCTCAAAATAAAATTTTGTCTATGCTTCTTTGGTCACAGCAGATTTATTAATGACAAATGTAAATGTGGCATGATGGAAGCAAAAATTGCATCCAGATTTAAATCCAAACAATTTACAATGAGGAGTTGGAATTCAGTCTTTGATGAAGAAATCAAACTCAAAAGCTTCATGAGAATGTCATACAAATCAGAAATCTGGATTGAGGATTGATGCCAAGGTTGGAGATTCTGACACTCTGTTTGGCTATCTGAGGCTCATGTAGATTGGAAAATATGTTATACAGATGGTAATTTGAAATTTTACTGTCATTCAATCAGCATTTGATACATTAGCAAAACTTTCTTCAATTTCAGAACTGAAAAAAATGTTTTACTTTATATGGCAGTTTTTGATCCCCTTGGACTATAAGCTAAAAGCAAGCTGAGGAAAATTTCAATGTGAAAGGGAATATGCAGATTTTACATTGCATGGTACTTCAAATTTGAATGAGTTCAGTCAGTCTTACTTGCAGATTTTACCACCTCTTTCAGTTTCTTCAAAGTTTTCCAGATTTTACCACCTCTTTCAGTTTCTTCAAAGTTTTCTGATGCTTTTACTATTGTTTGCTACAATTATTTTCAATATCATTTGAATTGATTCATGATGATGATGTTATTTGATGTTATTGGCTTGTTTAAGAATGTTTTGATGTTATTTGATGTTATTGGCTTATTTAAACAAAAAGGATGATTTTCAGAAAAAAGTCCCTTTTTGAGTAGGAATTGACAGTAATCTGAATCAGGGAGACTGAGTTGTGATTGGTTGTAGGCCAAGAGCATGCTTGATGATAGCTCAGCAAACCGGAGGTTCATCAAATTTGGTGAGGCTCATCGAGGTTGGAATGAATTCAGATTGGATCAAAGCAATCAATTAAAGCGATCTCAAAGCGATGGCCTGGCCGCCTGTGTGACGATCAGCCCTTCACTTGCTGGGTGAATGGCCAGTTCACTCTCCAACATCGACGCCGGCGTTAGAAGCCGCATGAGAATTCAATACAAAGCTGAATTGAGGGTCGACGCCGAGGTTAGAAAGCCTGACGGTTTGTTTGGCCCTCTGAGGCTATTCCTTTAGTTATATGTAGATTCTTAGGGAGTCGACTCCCAAACCGGTCGACGGTTATGGGGGATCGACTCCCTAATTTCGGGGGTTTCGGGGTTTGGGAGTCGACTCTCCAATTTTGGGGAGTCGATTAACCAATCCCCCAAAAAAAAACACATCCATGGGGCTGCTAAGTCAACAGATCCAGGAAAATGAGAGCATATAAAAAGGCTCTGGAATTCCTGCAAGACATGGATAGTCAAATGGGCATGTCTGTGGCTTTGATCTGTGGAATCAAATCAGGCAGGAAATGACAGGACAATCTTTGGTTGGATTGTGTGGGGCTACTACTTATCTGGGTCTTGATTATCTACGTTATAAGAGCAGATTTGAAGGATTTTTTTACAGAGAGAGAAAAGGAGATTAAGGGCCATTACTACCATATGGCATGAAAATACAATTTTAAACAAGTCATCTTGCTCAAACTTTCATATAGTGTTTTGAAGAAAGCTTGGACTGATTTCCAAGTTTGCTGTCCAAAATCATGGCATTCCACAATTTTCAGTTCAGGTTTTTTCTTTTTTCTTTTTTCTTTTTTCTTTTTTCTTTTTTCTTTTTTCTTTTTTCTTTTTTCTTTTTTCTTTTTTCTTTTTTCTTTTTTCTTTTTCTTTTTTCTTTTTTTTCTCTCTCCCTTGTGAAATAAAGTTGATGACCGCGACCCGCCGGATTAAACCTGCGCTGTGCACCGCAACCACATAAGCTAAAGACTTGGAAACTCTCGAATCGTCCAAGCATTCTTCAAAAGACAATACCATCCAATCTGAAAATCACCAGAAGTCATTTTATAGCCTATAGAAAAGTGAAGAATTTGAAAACCAGGTAGGTCTCTCCACTTTGTTTCAATTGTTGTGCATGAGGCACAAAAATTCTCCATTCTGGCTGGCCTAAGTGAGAGGGGAAAGAAAAATAGATTTTGTAGAGAAATGGGATCAGCTTGTATCCAAGATATGCCAGATCACCAAGAATGTGCACCTAAAAACACACAGCCAATCTTTGTAGCTTACAACTGGGGTAAACAAGTGATGATGTGATAGGGCACATTTATAACATGCTTTTTTTTGTTTTGTTTTGTGGAGGATTATGCACACAGGGATCTCAGCCAAGAAATTGGTTGAATTCCACACTCATCTCGAGTAATAACATTATCAATTGTGTCAAGAACACCATTCCCGGATAATTCAAGCTCTTGCATTTCTGATCTCTGTTCAATATCAGGCCAATTTGTCATATCATGGCCACTTTATTTCCAAACATTTGCCATCTTTTAATTTCTCATGTTGTTCAGATTTTTGTCTGGATATATGGCTAGCCAGACCGTAAGTATCTCATATCATTGCATGTATTCTGATTGCTGCTGATCTCAGATATTCATTCTTACATGTTCATGTAGTGATTTAATGAACAGAAATTGATGGTGGTTTTGCACAATCACTGATATAAGTTTGCCAGTGTAGCAATCAAATCTCTACTTGAATTCTCCCTGTAATCTGTAATATTTTCCACTGTTTTCTATTTCCCAATAAGTGTCTCCTTCATAGAACTCTTGGCTCTGAAAACTCATTATCTTTCTTGGCTCATAGCTGCAGTTAGTCCCCTAAGTTACTGAAAATGTCAGGCTTATACTACTTACAAAGGTAGGGATTTGTAGGGTTAAAGCTGTAGACTAAAATCCAAGACTAGATAACAATTCATTCCTTTCAAAATAAAATTTTATGGGCTCAATGAGTTCAATAAGGTGATTTGTGGTTCATCATATTTGGCAATTTCCTTGAGTTCAGAGGGTGGCAAATGTGCCAAATTCTCAGATTGAGGGTGTTCAACAAACGTGAGCTGCTTCTCTGGGGTTGCACCAACAGGCTTCTATTCCTTTTGATGAATTTACATTTCCAACATCAAGGTTCCGCCATTTAGTGGCAGATGTAAATGGATCACTCAGTCTGCATTTCCAGCTGAGTTTGGCTGTTTGGCTTTCAAAGTATTCAGTTATTTATTTCCCCATGGGAACCAGGAAAGCTGGACCAATTGAAAGAAAATTCTGTGTAAATGAATCCCGTCGATTCCAATTAATACAGCTTATAATTTCTCAAACAAAGCAGTAAATCAAACTCAACTACGGCAAGCAGTTGTAAGAGAAACATGTCTATCTTTTCTCTTAGCAGATTGGTGATTTAGATTTGATTGATGGCAATTTCAAGATCCTAGATAGACAATAATGATCCTGGTGATCTAAAATTAAGTATTGGTTGGGGATTAGGATTCAAAAACCTGTAACCTGTCACAAAGGATCTTATGTAGACATGAAAACAAGTCAGAGGTCTGTTCCAAAACTCCCATTTCATCAAACATCAGCTGCAGTATATCCCCACCTTTTCCATATTTTCTGATATCTGGAACTGGGTAAATATCTAGAATGACACAGAAAATATCAGAGTGGTATTCATTAAACAGGCCATGAGGAGTAGAGTTTTTTGAGCCTGAGGAAAAAAAATCATTTCTTGCACATAAAATGAGAAACTTGTCAGGCAATCCATAACAAATTTAGCCAAACAGATTTCATCATCATGTGTGAAAATGGTCAAGTGTGTAGAAAAATTTCAGGAAATTTTGTGTTCAATTTATGTATCCAGGTTGATCTTTTCTGATATTTTTCTCACAACCTGATCATTACACTAATGGAGTGCAGATTTTGCAATGTAATTTCCTGGAGAGATGAAGGATCAAACTGAACAGCTTTGTATAAATCAGAGTGAGGCTGATGCAGAATGTAGGAAATGTTTGGTCTTTAATGACCTCTACAAATATTAAAAGGAGTTGGGCCTATTTGGGCCTGCAGGTCGTTGGAATGGCTAACACATGAATTGCTGGCGACTCGGGTCGGGTTGTGTGATATAGACGGGCCCGCGGGGCTCGGCCCTTCGGAACTTTTACAAGGGCAAGCGGATTGCCTCTCGCCGAATATCCAGCATACCCTCGTTCGGACACAATACAGTGAGTGCATGATGTCATTAGGAATAGGGACCATCCATGAAGCACAACATCTGCTAACACTTCTTCCTACTCCTTTCAGATGAGTCGAAGGCTTATCTCCCGATCGAATGGACTCGTCCGGGTAGCACCTGAAAACATCCATCGTGGATTGACTCTCCCGATCCGTCGTTCAGAGCGCGTCGATCGAAAAGCTTATGGGTCGATTTCATCAGCTTACTCTCAACCGGTCGATGTAAGTCGAAATGCAGCCCTTGAGTAATTATCATGCCTCTTTCCGATTTTTAACTTGTTTTTTAAAAGTGACCTTTGGAGCTGTTTTTATTGATCTGTCCAGGGGTTTACAGGTGCCATTGGAAACACTCCGTTGGTGAATTTTTGTCGTTTTGTTCCCAGAAGACACTATGCAAAGTCCCATTGACCTGGTCCAAATCAACCATCCAAATCAATCTGAAACGTGAATAGATACATCTGAAAAGATTGTCCGAGCAGACCGGGTGCGAAATTTTTGGAAAGGCGGAATTTCTAAATCCTGGAGGAAGTGTCAAAGATCGAGCAGCTCTCTGGATCATTAAAGACGCTGAAGAAAAGGGTGAGTTGGTTCTGGTAATTTGCATACTGAGAATTATATGGTTTCCGAGTGGAAACATTCAAGGGATGTGCGCAAGAGAGCAATTTCAAATGATGACATTTGCAACCTACAAAAACCCTCACCAACTCAGGACTTTTGAAGCGCGGTGGAACTGTAGTCGAAGGGACAGCTGGAAATACTGGGATTGGCTTAGCACATCTGTGCAGGAGCAGAGGATATCGATGCATAATCTATATGCCAAACGTGAGTAAGCCTTCTTGTACGAGCGCCGGCTGCGATTATGAAACTGACGTATCTGATAGACTTGCCTTTGACTTATAGACCCAAAGCCCCGAAAAAATTAATGTTCTCAAGAAGTTGGGTGCTGAGGTTTACCCTGTTCCGGGTGAGAAATGCACCCTTCTCCATCTCATGCTCCTGTGCTTGCAGGTCCCGGCTGAAGTTCTCTGTCTCCACTGCCATCGGATTGGATTCATAAAAAACGCAGCGGTCCCATTCGACGATCCCCAGAATTACAATCATCGTTAGTGACTCCACCTACCGTCACTTTATCAAATCTGAATTGTTCACCTTCTTAAACTTTCTGCACAAACAAAACAAAACTTTTACAGAGGCAGCTCGATGTGCTGAAAGCATGGAGAACGCAGTTTGGACTAACCAGGTCAGTCCTATCGATTTGGTCGCTTTCTCCTATACTCCTTGTGGCCCTGTGACTTAGACAACCCCCACTAATTAAAAAACTGAATCACTTCATCACTGGAAATTCATAACAGTTCGATAATCTAGCGAATCGACAAGCTCACATTGAGACTACGGGGCCGGAAATATGGGAGCAGACACTACCAGTGGGTGGGATAGATGGATTTATTTGCTCGACGGGCACAGGCGGTACATTAGCTGGAGTGACCAGATACCTGAAAAGCAAATCGGATGGAAAAGTGAAATGCTACCTGGCCGATCCACCCGGAAGTGTATTATATAACTATATCCAATCCAACGGGAAAATAACGGATAAACGGGAAGGGAATGGTGGGAGCGTCACCGAAGGGATCGGTCAAGGTCGAATCACCAACAATTTAGCGCCAGAAATCCGAGACAATTTGATCGATGGCTCGTTTTATATCCCCGATCAAGACTCGATCAAGTTATTTTTCGAATTGATCGATCTCGATGGGTTTAGCTTGGGGTTGAGTTCGGCTTTAAACTTACTCTCGACCGTCAAACTTGCCGAAAAACTCAAGCAAGAACAACAGCTCGCAAGTCAACAGTCCAATCATCCTGACGGCCATCCCCAGAAGAAACTTAACTTGGTCACCATCCTCTGTGATTACTCGACTAATTATCAGTCAAAATTGTTCTCCAAATCTTGGCTGAAATCTAAAGGGCTGTTTGATTCAATCCCTGATCATTTGAGACAATATGCTATCCTCGAGTGAGGAAGGGGGCAATTTACTTCTCTTTTCCGATCATATTCACGATACATATGGTCTGTCATATCTATTCTCAATAAATGAGCCGTAGTCGTACCACCCGCAACGTCTCAGCATGAGCTCATAAGCCTGTAACGAGAGCAATTTCAAGTAAATCTATCAACTAAATAGCCAACCTGATATCACTGTTGTATGTATTCATCTTGATTATCCTGTAGAAACTGGACTTTTTTCATTTCTTGGAACTGTCATCCCATTCGTGGTTATGCATGCTATTTTCAATTTTGATTCTCGTACAAATCCTGGGACGCGGTTTGAAACTAGGAAACGCAACTTTCTTGATGGCCGCTACAGCCGCCAGTTTTTGAGCAGGGAAGACTCCCACTAATTGGCTCTCGTCGAGTGAGCAACCTCATCTCATCAATAACCGCGGCGGTGCACAGACCGGCCATCAAGTGGGGACATCTTGACACGCGATGATAACATCCATTGAAGAGGGCAGACTCCCATCTCGCCCCATATGAACACTATTGCTAACTTAGACCGCGTGGCGGCAAAGCCCCACATGAGCCCTGGCTAACATCAATGAACAGCCAGGTTGGATTTGAAGGAACCAAAAAAGAAAGCTTCGAATGGGGGATTCGGCAGGGACTGAGGAAATGGGACTCCGGGATGCTTCGGAAGAGGCTAATGGCTCATCACTCTCTTTATCCAGTTTGGGATGTTCATAGAGCAAAGAACGGGTATTTCATTTCATAGATAGTCAAAAAAAAGGATCAAGTACGAGTTGTCTCATGACCCAGCGACCCAAACTCGAACTTAAGCCAGGTCACTCGAGGGACTTCGTATGCACGGGTCTATTGCCCCCACTTTGCCACTCGGCACTTCCCCAAGGCTTTCGATAAGCTCGACCTAAACTTGGTTGTAAGCTTCGCTTGTACCGGCTCTTCGTGCGTGCGCACAAGGGTCATTCAAGCGAGATCACCTCGAAGGAGCAGCACTGAGTCAAAGCGTCTGCAAATGAAAAAGCCTACCAGACCCTTCCAATCGAATCGATCATCGATTGCACTTCTTCCCGCAAAAAATTCAATTCATTCTCTCGATGGGATCCATTCTTTGGGCCATCGAATTCCCGGAGATGCAGAGATCCAAGGCTCTTGGAAATCTGCAGCTATAAATAATGCAGACCTCACTGGCACAACATCACAGAGGATCGCCACATCTACCAAGCAAACACCTGATAGCTAACCTCTTCGCCGTCTCACTATCTCATTGATATTCTTTTTGGCTAGCTGGAAACTCCAAAAGGCCTCGAGGTTGAATTTGGAAATAAACTCGAGGATTCTGATTCGATAGATCATCCGAATCACCAGCCCGGTGTTCACAACGACTCTAACGGCTCATTAGATGCTGGATATTCTTTAAGCATTTTTTTCATCATATAACTTATTTTTGTAAAAAAAATGTCCATATCTATGCTTCAGGTCTCGAAGATATTTCTATTAGCTTTCATTCTCTGCGAGGTTCTGTTGGCATCAGCCCCAGGGCTTCCTTCGGGGGTACACCGAGCAAGGTCCAACATAAGGGCGACGCGTCACAGTAAGCAGCGCGAATTACATTCACATATTTTCATGTGGAGTAACAGATCACTGATGTGAATTTCTAAAAGACCTGAGAGTGAGGGGTCCTCGTCGAAGGCCAAGACCAACGGTATGTCCCCCAGTCGAGGATTATGGTGATGATAATGATGGTGATACTGGATATGCCAACGGGTAAGGGATTTCAAAATGGTCCTAAGGTCTGGTTCACATCTTTTGATATTAAATCGCCATCTTTTATCTCTGTATCATTGCTTTGGGGGATTAGATCTGAAACAGAGGAGAAAAGAGACTTATCTGAACCGCCTGACGAGGACTCCTGGAACGAAGACTCGTATGCGGACAGCCCTGATGAAGATCCAAGCCTTGAAGACTCTTCGGTGAATGCGACCTCGGCAAATGACACTCTTACGCCATCTAGTTTTGGTAATAGTTCTAGTATTGGTAACATTTCCACTATTGGCAACGTTTCTGGTATCGGCAATATTTCCAGTATCGGTAACATTTCACAGCCTATTAATGGCTCGCAATTCAACACGTCTCTTATTGGAACTGGGGGCGTACTTAACAATGCGTCAAGTATTGGTGCGAATCAAACCCAAGGGCTCAACTCTACAGATCTAAAAACGTTTGCTAGTGGCTTAGTCGCAGAACTCCCAGAGAATGGGATGAAAAAGAGTGAACTTTTGTACGTTGCAACTTAGTTTCTCCCGCACATTGCAATTTCACTGATCATCCTGCCACATCCCGCTAGCCTGGGATTTTTACCAGATGATGGCTCTTCAGGCGGGACCAGGCAGACCATCGCCCAATTAAATTCAGCTATCGGTAGCAAGGCGGCTGTGTACGGGTGGTACGCCCAGGCACATTCCGGAGTGCCTTTCGATGGCTCGCAGTTGCTGTCGGTGATTGACGACGTCAAAGCTTGTAATTGTGTTTTTCAACCGGCAGTAATGCCGATTGGTGGATGGAAAGGCCTCACAAGCGGGGACAACAGTCAAGCCATCGCCATGTTCGTATATCTTCCTTCCGTTATTCTTTTCATTTCAGACAAGGAAAACGGAAAACTGACGTAGTTCAACTTTAACTGCAGTGCTAAGGTAATGAAAAACTTTACCGATGAAGGTATCCCAGTTTGGCTACGCTTCGCTCACGAAGTGAACTAGTTGAGTGGGCAATCAGCATATAATGTAAAGGGCTTCACTAACATCAAGTCCCATCTCTTAGCTATCAAAATGATGGCACCTATCAGGGAACTGCGTCCGATTTCAAAGCGGGTTGGGCCGCTGTAGCGGATGCAGTCAAAAAAATCGCACCCAGTGTCAAGATGTGGTGGACCCCCAACGTTTCTTCGCCAGAGGATTATGCCAAATATGAGCCGGATGACATGAGTACTGTTGACCTAGTGGGAATAGATTTTTACCCAAAGAAACTAAGCGGGACCGATTTCCTTGATGCCATGAAGGGATTTCATGACAAGTATGCAGTCGATGGCCGCAAGTTTGCAATCGGTGAAACAGGGTAAGTGAAAAGAAACTGGCACATAGTAATCATGTTTTCAAGATCCTGACCAAGTTTGGATCTGTGATTCAGTCTTGGATGGAGTGGCAACCTGGATGACAAAGTCAAATGGTTCAACGAAATCTGCGAGGCCAAGGCCTCTCTTCCCGAATTCGTTTCCATGGCATGGTTCAACTTCGACAAAGAATATGATTACAAAATTGCAGGGTCAGTGATCACTAAACTTTGGTTTAATCACTGATATGGGCGCTGATGTCATTTGTTTTTGAATGACTAATAATTGATAGGGAACCCACGTTGGATCAGAAATTCACTTCTCTTATCGCTACTTGAAATCGCCGGTACCAACATTGCCAGAAGCTATTAGCAATTGAATTTTGGTCAACATATATATTTTTAACTTACTCATTTATCTTTCAACGCAACAAGACGACAGTCTTTATACTGCGGGTGTGATTATTCGTTCTTTCATGTAGCATTTTATAGTATTCGTCCTTTCATGTAAAACTTTCTCTATATGCTTTTTCAAGTGAACGTCCAAAAACGTTGCAATGTTTACGTACTTTTAGAAAATCACATATCAATCCATTGGTGATGATGATCATTACCTGAATTTAGATAAGAGTTTGACTCCTGCTAAGTTTCTTTGATCCTCCAGATTGCTTAACAAAACATTTTGGCAGGATTAATGCGTTCCCTGGGGAACTATGTAAGAGGTTGCAATGAAGCAAAACAAACCATCATTAAGTTTCAAAGGCCGACGTGGCTTCAAAGGAGCTCAAGAAAAACGTGTATGAGAGAAAATAAATGATGATAATTCAAATATTTGCAAAACGCTTACTTCCTTTTGCTAGCCAGGAGGCACAAAAGAGGCGACCACCTGAACGCCTGTCACAACTGAAAGCAACTCCGCCTATGAGTAGAACAACCAACATAACACCAGAAATGTCGGTGGATCGAAACACTTGTATTGCTCTCTCTTTTGCGAAGTGAAAATGAGTCAAGAAAGCAATCTGATCCGTTGGACTTGAATGTTTCAACATACACAACAAAAACTAACTCGACAAGTCCCTCTCAGAGGGGAGACGCTGCCCCGCAATGCGACAAGTGGTTTACCACCTCGACGAAGGAGGGCAGGGACTTCCATAGTTAATCTACTAACAAAAAGCCATCTGATCATGATAAAAATACTTACGTGCGGCAACAGAAAAAAGTCGTCACCCCTATGATCCAGTGTCGGTCGCGTCGCGTCGCGTGTCAAGGAATATGATATTTCAACACCGACGCGTGCCAGATGCACCACTCGCTGACTCGACAGACATGTGGTGGGCTTGTTGCAGTAGCTGACGACATAATGGGCTACAGTTTTACCATAAATCCGCCCTAATCAATCCTATGTATGTACTATTGTGCAACAGTTTGTCATAGTTCTTCTTTCCTGATTCATTAGGAAATCGTTCATCTCACTTCAATCGTGATAATGCACCGTTCATGGCCACACAGTCATATATCGATACTTGAAAAAATTGCCAGATGAATTATGGTACAGCTCCTCGCCGGCGTAGCGCGTGACGGGAATGCTACGACTGTAACTGAAATGAATGACGATTTTGCGCCCCAACTGATATATTGCAGGTATGAGCCGAAATCTCATGTCTCGTGTGGGTTCCAACTGTAGACTATAAAGCTCGGTTCAAGTTTGGATTAATTTGAGCCTAACTCTCCAATACTCACTTCACTGGAGCCTTTCTCGTCTCGTGGCCTACTCCTAACAGTCTATTCGGTATCGATATCGTCAGAAGGTCACCTGGTTCAACGATGCAGCTGTCCACCTTGTTCAAATTTTTACTGGTCGCCTTGATTCACGGTGAGGCCGGCTGCCAACAGCACAAGTACTTTCCATGTCCAAGTGCACGGCCGGTTGCTGTTTGTGCCAAGACACTCAATTACTCAACCTCAATAGGAATCTCTGATGCCTCAAGCGAAGGTCGACTGGTCGAGTGTAAGTTACGCTCGCCACACATTTTTTTTGAATCAAAATTAACACAGTGTCGCTTTTTTTATAGTGGTGAGTGCCCATAGCGATAAAAACGGAAATTTCTGCGAAGGCGACCATCCAGATCAATCCTGCTGCCCACGAGGCCATTTTGTATGTTCCCAAGTTATTTCAAATTAATTACAGACATAATCATCTACAACTGACATGTCTTCCTCAGACGCCAGGCATGAAGACGGCCAAAGACGTCTGGCAACGAATTTGCCCCCTATAATGAAGTTGGACCCAATTTGTGTGTCACGCAATTATTTTTTTTGAATTACTAGGGCGACCCTTCTAACAATTATGCCTTTACACAGGTGCAAACCAGGCGCAAAGTGGCGAAAGAGATGAAGGCTCGCTCCTGACCGAAATTACATCAGATTGTGTTCCCATTCCGCTTTTGCGTACATGCCATCTAGATCACCATGCTATAGTGCAATTGAAAAACACGAAAACTTAGAACAATGTCCAGAATTTCTTTTGTCATTTCGCTTCTTTATCGATTGGCATACATCGTCGTTTTATGCAACCTATCATATCTTTCTCTGCCTCTTAAGTCGCGGCAGAGTAGGACCGTAGACGCCATCTGAGTTGATACATGGGGTACAACATTTCTCAACCCACCAACAATCTTTGCCTCCCTCAATGCACCATTTTGGAAGCATGATTTCCGACATGGAATTGCACATCAGTCGCAGACACGCCCAACTTGACAGCTTTCCCCTATCCTGTGTTGTAGCGGCGTTGATATGTGCGGGTGATCTCTGGTGAGGCACTCTTACATTGCGCAGAGCAGTGAGGCAGAAACCCTGCGGGGCAAGAGGCTTGTGTAGGCTCGCTCAAAGGCAGTACGTCTAGGGGGTCAGGGAGGGAGATACCTGGCAAATAGTTGCGCCGTCGCCTGATCCTTTTATCGCATCCAGTATTTATGTATGAACCCGACTCGTTTGGGTGTACATTTGGACGACTGCATAGCACTGCATGCTGAATTGGACACAACAGGACACGATGCAGGGCGGCTCGATAGGTGAAGCACTTGACATGATAATATATGTTGTACATCCGGAATATCCACTATTCGTCAAGAGGGTGCGTGGTAGATTTGTTGGAGACAGGTAAGGACAGGCAACGAAAGAACAGACTGTGGCTGAAATGATTCTATAGTAAGCACAAGTGTACAACATCGTGGCCAGCCAAAAATATTCCACAAACAAGCCTACTAGGAGGCGCTTGCCGTGGTCACCGGCTCCGCACCCACCGAGGGTGGGCTTGTGTTACATATATAGTCGACCCTCCTCTGGCCACAAAAGCCGACGCGTATCACCCCAGAGCAGCAATCACACTGAAACTATCTCCACCGTCTCTTTACCACCTCGTAGCGCCATCATCTTCGAAGACTGCCTATATTCCTCATGAATACATCAACCTTATTCAAATTTTTGCTCGTGGTCTTGATCCAGGGTGAAGCCAGTTGTGCCAATCAAGTGCCCAAACCTGCACCAAAAGTGCCTCAAAGCTTTTCATGTGGTGCCCGTGCTCCTGTTTGTGCCTGGAAGGTTTTTGTTGATCCGAAGGCTATAAATCCAGGGCAAGGTGATCGTGTAGAGCGTAAGCCATTTTAGAATAAGCAGCTGCCCCCAATCGATCTTTGGCTAATGAAATAATGTTCGCCGGAAAAAATGAATGGTCTTGTTTTATAATTCTTTAGTGTCGAACGCCCACAACAACCACGACGGCACCTGGAGCTGCAGAGGGAAATACACAATGCAATCATGTTGCAGTCTACCAGTGCGTTCCAAAGCTTCCTCCAATTTTTACAACAACTCCTCAGAACTTAACCTGTCGCGGTGAACGTTTCTACAGGTGAGGGACAAATCAAGATTCGCAATCGAAATATGGCAGAAGGAGTGCCCCGACCCCGCGAATATCAAATGAACCAAGTTCAACAATCTTATTATTACTTCTTTCTCAATTGGTTGCCAATCGTAGCTTCCATATTTTCGACATTGATCACCCAAGCCTTTCACCGGCCATTTTCCATGTAGTGCAGAGATCAACCTTGGAAAAAAAAGCGTTAACAAACAAATGAAAAGTAGTTTATTTGGCGAGCGTCTGGTTGCCATAAGAAAATGAAGAAAGATGACCAACAAGGACAATTTTGAGTCGAGACCCGAACATCAAGCGCTTGTCATGATTGTAAAGGGTTGTCACTGATGGAATGGCTTCTTGTTAACTGCCGACCGGATTCGACATTGAGCTCATGATTCTCTTCCAGATTTCTTCTCCTGAGTAGACTTGAACCTAAGTTTTGATCTCATGCAGCATGCATTTATCTAATCGCTTTCTTACATACCTGCCGCAAAAAAAAGGAAAACAAAACAAACAAAACGCTTGGTGTGATCCGGTCGAGAAATAAAACTAGATAAGCGATTGCTCATGCCCATCAGGTATGTATCACTAATCACTATCAGGTTAGGTGAAGGATTCACCTTGGGCCTTATGTGATTAGCTTTTTGCAAAAAATTACACAATGAGAAGGGTGTTCATATTGGGAATGGCAACCAAGGCCAAAGTCGGCCTGCGAGTAGATAGTCTCCACAAGCATTCTCTGGCCAAATTAATAATGTCGGAGTGGGGACTTCAGTCAGTTAGGTCACATGGAGACAAACTGAGACAATCTAGAGCAATTTCTGGTGGATGAGGGTGGGGTGCACAGCAGAATTGAGGAAACGGAAGGGATCCCCGTCGGATTAAGGTAATATATTTACTTATTTAGTTAGAAATGATCACAGCAGTCACGTAGGGAAAACTATTTACATATTGTAACATGTGTTGAGATACGTGTATTGAAAAGAACCTGTATACATACAGCTAGCCATTTGATTTAACTACATGCTCGTGAGTATTGATCGAGTTTTTATTTGTCCTACTGAGAATTGTCTCTGACTAAAGTCAACAAAATAGTAAGATAATCCAGGAGGAAAGCACACCAAGATCCTTGACAAACACTACAAGCGCGATTCATCCTTGAAGCTTCCTCCGGTCATATGGAGATATCAACGTTGAAATCGATAGAAAGCAGTTATTGGGATTGAGCGGGACCTGCGTTGGGGTTTCCTTTGCAGGCCACTATCTTGACCCTCTTGACTGGTCCAACTGAATCTCCTCCTTCTAGCTTGAATGTTGAATCATGCAATAAAAATGTCCATACCTATTGTTTTCGTGTTGAAAAAAAAAAGAGAACAACCGTTCAAAACTTGATCCCTGACTCGTTCTCATTTCCTATGTGCTCAAGTTGGGGATGAAGAGTAGAAAACCGTACCTCATCGCATAATCTATAAGTAGATAGATGCCCTTTTACTGTACATTTCGAACGTAGTTGGGTCGAAAGAACTTGGGAGGCAGATTTATCGAACTAAGACACGCACATGACATATGTGAAAAATATGATCAGTTCCATATCCATAGCATCATCAACTACTGACTGCTGTCTTTCAGTTTCCTTGGTAGGCCGCCTGGTGCGACGAGATGATAAATTTGAAAATTTTCTGACCTGCTTGAGCACAGTTAAAGCTAGTTGAGGGTTAATGTGTCCGCTTTGGATAAGCTCGTCGAGTGCGTCGGTGAGAGCCAGTCCAAGACTGCAGGGACCCACGAAAAGACACATTGATCAGGTCAGAATTTAGCTCGAAACCAACCGAAAGCGAAAAAAAAAAAAACACATTCAAAGAGAGGAACGAATAATCTCACCTCGATCGACGATAAAGCTCAAAGTAGGGCGCCGAATTGATGCCGGTGTTCGAGGCCATGTAAGTCGATGTAGGGGTGTTGGAGGGGCGACTTCTTCGATCAGATCACGAGCTTTGTTTTCTTTCTTTTCTCCGCTGTCCTGAGATGACGGCCGTACAAGCAAGTGGATGGTTCTGGAGGGGATGGCGCGAGTAGGGGCAGGCGAGGTGAGCGGAGAGCTGAAGTAGATGATAAGCCAGAACAATCGGTCGGTCGTTCGGGGGTCGGCAAATCATATACTCGTTTTTCCCCGGGGCACCCATGGTCATTTGGCCGAGTTGGTCTAAGGCGGCGGTCTTAAGATCCTCTATCGCGAGATGCGTGGGTTCGAATCCCACAGTGACCAGATTCTTTTGCCGCAGACACCTTCCTGCTCTTCATGAAGCCGCCCACCCTGCAGATGTTGATGGGAAGCATCCAATGTTCAAGTGTTTCAAACATCAGGAAATATTTACATCTCCAACCAGAAACCTGAATACTTTTTCTCAGCTGGCTCTAATTATAGCATTCCAGAAACAACTGCCGAGGACACTGAGTCCTTTTGCACAATAAAATGTGAAGCTGGTATGAATTATATTACAGCCTGCTGTATTTGCTTGGTCTGGCCAGTTATGCTGGGTGGAGCCTATAAGCAATTTAAATTTCTAGTGTCAAGAAAATGTACTATGTTTTCTGTAAAGCTTGGACCAAATTTTCTTTTCTTGCTGCATTTTATGGATTCAGCTTTCCGACTTTGTTGATTTCAAATTCATTTCTGCCTCAGTTGTCTCAGCGGTGGGCCGCTACGCTACACTACGCTACGGGCCCATGTAGCGTTAGCGTAGCGGCGCCAATTTTTTTTTTTTTTTGTGTAGTGTTAGCGCGCCGCTACGGCCGCTGCGCTACGCTAACTTGTAGCGGCGCTAACACTAGCCATTTTTTGGTGTAGTGTTAGCGCCTCGCTGGCGCCGCTACGCTGCGTTACGCTACGCTACAGCGTTTTTAGCGGCAAAAAACGCCAAAAAACCGCTAAAAACTGCTGTAGCGCAGCGTAGCGGGCGGTTTTTTGCGCCCTGTGCACGTAGCGTTAGCGCAGATGGGGAGAATTGCGCTAACGCTACGCTAAACGTTAGCGCATTGTTTTGCCCCGTGCGCGTAGCGTTAGCGCTGAAAATGAAAAAAGCGCTAACGCTACGCTACATTGTAGCGATTTTTCGCTACACTACGCTACGCTAACGCTACAGTTAGCGTAGCTGGCCCACCGTTGGTTGTCGTCTCATAACTCTCAAGTCTCTTCTCAGCTTTTGTGAGGGCCCTATGCTTGGTTGGCCACTCTGTTGTTCCAGAGGGAAGTCACTGGCAGCCTCATGGAGTAGCCAGTGGGGTCTACAATATGCTCCTGTTCAGAATATGAACTCAGTTTCTTGTTAATTCTACTCCAGGAGCATCTATTGGATTTAGGTTTTTCTGAAGGTGGTTTTACCCATGGGTGTTACATGACATCTGTTGAGATAAAACAAAATGGACAAAACATAGGTATGGGATTTCTGGAATCAAAGTTGAATCACAATCAGCACAAGCTTTTGGGAAACACAACTTGTGATCCCCACAAGGCAACCCCAGCACCACAATGTTATTGAGAAGTGCTGTATCAGTGCCAGCTGAATGACATAGTGCAAACTGGGGCATGATCATCATCACAGTGCCACCACCTGTATCCAAGTTCAGTTGGGTGAACCCCAAAGCACTCAGGCTTTTCTTTTTCAGTTATAAGTGATTTCAAATCCAAGGGGCTGGGTGAGACACCAAATGGAATCTTGGTCACTTCATTTGACCCTTAAAAAGTTCAGTTTCATGAAGATGAAACAAATTCATGTTGAATCACCCTCAATCCAGCATGATTCCAGGCTAGCTCCACTGGAATCAAATCAATGAGAGCATCCGCAGCAGTGAACAAGTTATACCAGACTAGCAAGCTTGGATTAGTCAATGACTAAGCTATTCTCAGGCTCCAACCGCATTGGTGGTGGCAGAGATCACTTAGATCTAGGGTCTTAGTTAAACGACTCCCAAATATTGGAGTTCCGACTCCCAAATATTTGGGACGTCACTAAGACCCCCTGCGGACGGTCCGCAGGCCGTCCACCCCCGGAGATGGGAGTCGGACCTCCCAAACCTTCAACAGGTTTGGGAGTCGGTCATCCCAAAAAAAAAATAAAAGATAAAAGATAAAAAAAATAAAAAAACCCGGGGGTTTTTAGGAGTCGATCTCCAAAAACCCCCAGGGAGGTTGGGAGTCGGCGCCAGACTCGACTCTCAGCGGCAGAGAGGAATCCCTCTCGGCGGCTGAGAGCTATACA